GACCTTTTAAGTCTCATCTGAGGTTTGATGGGAACGTCCTGTCCATTCATAGTTGACAGCACTGGACATGAATTGGACAGTCGTGTCGATGAAGATGTGGTTTCAATTATCGTCGGCTCATTTGTCTCATGAGTACTGTTTGATGTAAAACTGTTTACAATGAGATTCATAGGTATTTGTGAAATTAAAAGTTGTTACCAAACAGACTGTCCAGAAGTGGTTGGGATCACCGGATGATAGGATTGCGACTCATCTGTTGACACTTCTATCTCTTCGTAAATCCATTCAACAAATTCATTCATCAATACGTTTGCATTGTTTGCCATTTTGTGTCAATAGGACGGCTATATTATTACTTAAAAAATAATTACCCTGGCTTTCAAATCAAAGTTATTTATTTGAAATCTACGGTATAATATTTTATACTCATTTTCTGTATTTATAAAGGACAATATTATTTAGGTTATAAAAAATATATAATTATAATAATTATATAATTTATAATAAATTAACAAACCAACATGACATTCATTTGTGAATAAAACAAATGATTAATTTTGAGCTAATTTAAGGTCAAAGATATTATTTTAAGAGAAGTCTACAGAAATTTTCTTAATTTATTATTACTAATTATATTAGTAATACATTTGAGTATATGATTTACTCATTCATTCATTTCTATTAAGTGTTAAATAGTTTCACATTATTTGAAATTGAATTATATTGTACTGTTAAATAATTTCTATGAATAAATGAAATAATAGTATAAAATCATTATAACTTTCGAAATATTTTTATTTGAAATCCTTTTTGATGATTGTCTTGAAAGCAATGAATGTATCACTTTGTGAGGGTTGGGAGGACTAGTTTTTCAAAATTTGGATACTTGAATGTACCATCTCTTGGACGTACGGCTGGGCGTGCGTGGCATCTGCCGGACGGCTAAGCTTTCGGTAGTGCCAGCCATCGATTCCCATACGGATGTCGACCCCAACCGCTTGACTTTCCAGTTCATTGAATGGCAGTCTTTCCCTCCCATACTCCGTATTCCCGAACAACAAAATACTGCATCACTATTAGTGAATAAATTGTTGAATATCTAAAAAACCACCTTTTACAAATATTAAATTCATAAATTAATTAATACTATTTCATAGATGATATGAATGCTACGAAAACACACTGATTATAAAATGATGCTATTTTAATATTCCTTGTCATAAATTCTGTAATTGAAAAATAAATATACAAATCATTACTACTTTAGAAATACTTTTATTTTGCAAACTTTTCTCTTCTGATAATAAGAGTAATAATCATTTGTTTCGATGTATTCTTCAATAAAAACCTTTCAATGAAAACAACTCTTGTGATTGAAACGGAGCATCGATAGACAGCCTATGGCTGAGGGTTGAGTCTGGAGTACGGGTACTTGAATGTTCCCACCTTTCCCCGATCCCTCCCCAACAGTCGCTTCTTGTAGAGTCAGCCATCGATTCCCATACGGATGTCGACCCCATCCGCATGACTTTCCAGTGTATTGAATGGCATTTTCTCCATCTGGTACTCAATAATCTCCATCTCCTGATCATTGCTTACAAAGAGTTCCCAATTGTTTGCATTTTTTTGCTCATAATCCTTACCACTTGTCTGCCACATCTCTCCCACACGGTTTGGGGTTCGGAACCATTTCTTGGACCCATTGACATACAGGGGCGATATGGGCGCCACAAATGAACTCATTTTCGCATTGGGATCCCATACGACTTGCCTCAAGTCATCGCAAACTAATCGGAAGAATTGTCGGGGAATTTCATTCAATGCCTGATTACCTCTGAATGCAGTGACACCTTGTATTGTATTGTTTCCATTGTTTGTGGCGATCACTTTGGCAATTGGGTCGAGACTAGTGGTGTATCTGCGGTCCTGAGTGATGCCAATATCCTCTTAAGCATCAGTTCCTCGGGAACTTCAAACGGGGCCACACTCTCGAAATTCTGGCTCATCTTAGGATCGCACAGAACATTGTACTCATGCAGGCGCTCATACAGGTGTCGGACGCGGATCTCTTTTACTCCGTCATCCCACTCCTCAATGGCCGCAATGACCCCGCCCTCAGGTATCAGTAATTTGTTCCAACGATTGGTTTCCGTGGCGTCGATCGACAATTCCCAGGCAATGGACTCGTGTTCCGATTCGTTTGGTCCAAGAAATATGACGGGACTCACAAAACTTTGGGCATTTGCTTGTGTTTCACGGCTAACCAATACTTTTGCGGCCAAAGCCTGGTTTGTGTCGTCAATAACGTTGATCGTATTCACTGCCGTACTCCATGCGAGGTGTCCCTCAACGATGACAACCCCTCCCTGTTGTACGAGAGTTCTGGTGTGATTGGTGTTGTCATTTGGGTTATAACCGGGTTCACAGGTGTCGACGACCATAAGCTTAGCGCCGGCGCCCACATATATGGCGAACCGTTCTGTACACGATTTTTGGTGTTCATGGCACCAGTAACCCTCGTAGTAGTTGGATGTATCGATGTCTATCCAACTCATATCGTTGTCACACACTTCATACACTTGACCGCATTCGTAAGGATTTGTTCGTATGCCTTGTGAACGCAGGTATAGCCGACTTCCAGCACCATATGTTTGAGTATTCTCGGACTCATACCACATATATTTCTGGACACCGCTTGAAGTACCGGCCGATTAAATGGGACGAGGGTTTGCTGCCATCCGCCAGAATTTGAATTGGAGGCCAACTGCGAGCAACTTGAGAGGGCTTTGGATTCTGTTTGTGGTGATGACCGGATATATGTTGCTAACACCGATAATACTGCTGCACTCGAGCGTCTTTTTCTGTATGTCCACAGATATTTGAATGGCATCCACACTGCCGTATCGGCTGAAGAAGACGTGTTGTCCCACTTGTTGTCTGGCCTTTAATTGCCAATAGTCTAACAGATGGTTGAGTTCCACTATTTGATTGATGCTCCCATTGACCACTTGTCGGCCCACGAAGGGGATAGCGTTGACCACCACTTGGAAGTCAGTGGTAAGAGTCCTGAGGAAATAGGTGTTCGCCACGAATGGAGTGTCCTTATGGAAGAAAAATCGGTTCAACCCTTGGCCGCCCTTATTGGCCCCAAATAATAGGTTTGAAACTCTTGAACCGGTTTTGTTTTTAGTAAACGATCGCACGACCAGTTATTTGCGGTAAACTTTGACCGAATTGGTGGGAACTGGACGCTCTTGTCCGAGAACCGCCAGACTGGGCTGTCTGTCCAACTCGTCCGGAGTCGGGGCGGGATTCATGTCTTGGTTTGTTTGCTTAAGAGTTGTCTGAAGTTTGGTTTGAGTTGTTTTTGGTTTGCTTTCACTTTTACCTATTTTACACAAATCACAAACTCGAAAATAAATACATTATTTGAATATTATTTGTAAAACTCGAAAATTATGTTTTAAAGTTTTAGAAACGTTTGCTTAGAAAAACTTATGATTATCAAGATAAATTAGCATGTTTATTAATATACTAAATTTTGAAGTTTCTATCCGGATATATGATTTGAATGATGTCATCATTCATTACGTAACCAAAAGTATAAATTATATGTTGAACATTTCTTCAAATCGCATTAGTTGATTGATTTAATGTATTTTTAATTATAATTTTGTACTATATATGGCCTATCTTTGAAGTTTTGATTCATATAAAAGTTATGTCGTAAATGGTTTTCAAATAATGTATTTTCTTGAGTTTTTGTACTTAAGAGTCGTTTTACAGTGAACTCAGAGTCCGGACTATATCTTAAGACTAACTTCTATTTAGAGAGTATTGTAGAATCGGGACTACCACCAGTGTCACATCTGGGTTTTGCAAGCCGTTTACAGAATTAAAATAAAAATTTGAGTAAAAGTGACTATTAGTTATTTATAACTTTGTTTATTCAGTCTCTTAAGATAAAAAGATTTATCTAACATTTTATGAAATTATAAGTTTTAAGTATTAGATATTAAATTAAATAACTTCAGTGCAATACATTGTTTTTTGAGTACATTTTTGAAATCATAGCTAAAAATAAGTTGTACCAGTATAAAAAACATTTTTATTATATTTTCCATATGAAACAGTGTCAATAAAAGTCCACAAATCAAAACAAAACTTTAATTTCAATTATACTTTTCTAAATATAAATTATATTTACATTAAATGTATTATAAATGAGATATTAATGGACGCCTTAAACGGATATGAGTTTAAGTCTGAGGGCACCGAAAGACACGTCAATCATGTCTTCATTGCTGTAAGTGATTGAATGGCAACACGAGTTGCAAAAGACTAATGTATTCCAATAGACGCCCCGTTTATATGCCTCCAAATCCCGCTTCAGATCAATGGCTATCTCCCGAAACGTGTCGTTCCTATCGATGGATTCAATCATTTTATTGTAATGATATAAAACCCTGTGAAAGCTGTCAAAGCTCGCTACTTACAGGCCGACAGCGCACACTAGAGAGCGGCTGAATTAGTGTAGTGTCTACACAACTAGGATACAAACCTGTGTTCTTAACATAACATGATTACGAATCAATTACACAATAAATTCATTGGAAATAAAAAAAAGACTGTTTGCAAACTTTTAACTAACGTAAAGTCCTGAAGTAAGAGCCGAGAGTTTCGTAAGTTAAGTTGCGAAACAAGCGACTTACAGACGTTGAGAGCCCAGGAAAGTGAGTTGAGAACTCGGTTTGATTGGTTACTCTTCTCCACGACTTCTTTGCTTTTGAGACAATTGTCGCACAAATCACGCAATCCTTTCAACTCTTGTCTCAGTTTCTGGTTTTCTGTCGAAAAGCTCTGATTCTGTTCACACATATCACTGCCCTTTGTCTTCAGCTCCAGAACCTCTTGCCTTAACGCCTGGATCTGTTGATCCAAACCCGTGTTCACAGTCAACAGTGTCTCGTATTCCTCCGACTTTTGTCTCATCTCTTCGCCGAATCTGTTCTCCCATTCAATGCATTTGTTTTTATACTTTCGCGAAATGGATGACAACTTCTGGTTTGACGTCTTCAGCGCCTCCGCTTCGGCCCGAAGACTGTCCACCTGTTGTCTCAACTGTGGGCCGCAGTTATGATCACTAGTATTCACTTCTTGACAATAGGGGCACCGATTCAGGGGATTGTGTGGACACACCTTCAGGTGTTGGTCCAGGAGTGACAGTTTGCACACGTGTTGACACCCATTGTCCTTAAACTCGCAACAGATGTCCAGTCTTTCGATGAGATTAACACTAAAACGCGGCGCCGGAAACCACTTCTTAGCCGTCAGTGCTTTGCGACAATTGGGACACGTTTTGCTGTTTTTGATCCATTCGGTGATACATTGGTTGCAATACGACTGTTGACAGCATTGGGTGACCACCGGTTTGTTGAGGACTCCCAAACAGATCCCGCATTTCATCTCTTCGTAGTCCTCGTCGCTCAACGACACGAACCGCTGTCTATCCAATCCAGACATCTATGGTCTTCGTGTCTGCGGCGCTTTAGACGAAGATAATAGTCGTCGCAATCGGTGGTGCAGTCAGTGATTAGTCCATTGATTGTGTGATTAATGTGTAAATCATATGTTAATTGTTGTTATTGTTTGACATTTCATTTGATTATGCAATCCATACATCAATAATGTGTGCAAACATTGCATCCAATTATGCCATATATTGTATCATCTCTTAAGCGATTAAAACAATTAATTATTATAGTTACCTGATATTTAACACGATTAAGTATCCCGTATGTCAACTATATTAAATCAAATGAACCCTGCTTCAATTTAAATAAGTGTTTGCGTCACTACAAAAGTAACATTATTTACGTACAATGTGTTGAGAAATAGCGGCAAACAGTCAGCTGTGAAGTGAGTCTCGCATTGAGTGCTCAACTGAACACATGTTTGACAATCAAATCAAACACTGAATTAAGCGTCGAGTGAATGAAAGGCTATAACAATGAATGCATTCAACTGTGAGTTCAGATACCAGAGCCGCGTGTATGGCATTCACGTGACTGTTGAACACATGTTTGACAATCAAATCAAACACTGAATTAAGCGTCGAGTGAATGAAAGGCTATAACAATGAATGCATTCAACTGTGAGTTCAGATACCAGAGCCGCGTGTATGGCATTCACGTGACTGACGCCCACTCAACACACCTCCCATTTGAGCGCATTTTGACGCAAATCCAACACATCGTTAACCTCATCGGCAAAGAGCTCATCACTTTCGACACACATCTCTTTGAGGTGATCATCACCACTCGTTTGATCCGTTATTTAATGCTATTATCTCACGTCTATTGTCTACGATTAGGTATCGGACAGCGTGTGCACCACTTTCATCAACAAAGACTCGCTCATCAAATCAAACGCATTGATACTTATGTCCCGCAAATCACAGACAAATATCTCTCAAACGATGGCTAATACTGAAGATAATGAGTCCATTGATGACGAGATATCGATTGTTGATGTTATTGATGCCAAACCGCTCACCACTACTGTCGCATCAGATGGCATTCAAGTCGCGAAGACTGATAACGATTCCGAAGGCAAAGTGCAGACTATTGTCATTGTCTCGAGTGATGAAGAGTTGGACACAAAGCCGAAGACATTAGACGTGAAGATTAAGGCCAAGAAAAAGAAGATATTAAAGGAGCAGATATTGTCTGACATTCCTCAGGAGTATCGCTACGAAAATCTTTTCATTAAGACGTCTGAAGACATAGATATGTTCAGCACTTTCTTGGATGTAATCAAAGACTTTTCCGATAATAACTGCGACCTAATAGCAGATCACGAGTGGACTCATGCTATACATCACCGCATGAAAGCCAAGGGTTATCACGACTGTCAGCCTAAGAGTTGGCGATACTTTTACATGAGTCTCACCGATCAATACCTCAAAGTAATGATACGTTTGTCGAAATGGTTATCAATTTGTATTTGTAATCCTTGTTAACCTTTATGTGAGAACAGGTCCTCAAGACTATATCGTCGACCGCGGAGACAGAGTTCCCATTCTTTGCCAAATTTAATGAAATACTATTCAACGCCATTAACCCTATAATGAGAGATATCTTGAATTCACGGACCCGTTTCCTGATCTGCTGTCAACCAGAAGATCCGCAATTTCTGGCACTTCAGGTGACGGCCGACGATCAGAAGACTGAGTCGGATCTGAGGAATAATTTTCAGAAGAAACTCGAGAGGAATATCTCTGCCATTAAGGAGTTTGTTCTATTGGTTCGAGTGATAGTCCAGCAGAATGTCGGCTCACATGAGCCACACTTCCAGGACGTGATCACTAGAGAGATGTTGAAGAATGGCATCAATTGGGCGGCAAGTAAGCACTCGGAGGTCAGGTGGTGGGCACCCAATGGCTTCCTCGACACTTGGCTGGCTCACATGAGCCACACTTCCAGGACGTGATCACTAGAGAGATGTTGAAGAATGGCATCAATTGGGCGGCAAGTAAGCACTCGGAGGTCAGGTGGTGGGCACCCAATGGCTTCCTCGACACTTGGCTTACATTCTACTTCAATGTAATTAATTAATTGACAATTGCTTTGATTTATATTTGATATGTTTTTCTCTTTGAATGCCCAGAATCTCTCAAATTACAAGATTTCATTGACTTCTCCCAATCGTGTCGTGCGATACGTCTATAAGTATTTAAATTCAATTCAAACACAATTCGCGGATTTGAAGCAAATTTTTGCTGCCAATGAATACTTTACTGAGAAGTTGGTGTCAATTGAAAAGCGTTTTGACGGCATGTTTCGCGAAGTAAAGCCCAAACCGGAAGTCAACAACACGTCTGCCAAACGCAGGCAAAGCGCTGACAACACGTCCCGAAAGAAACCCAAAAAGTATAACAAAAAGAAGCGTAACTACAAGAAAAAGTCTAATTATGCGGCAAATCGTGGCACTAATTATACCCAAAATCGTAGCAATTATACCGCAAATCGGGACAATAATTTCAATAGAGTATGCATTTGTATGAATGCTTTATTTCAATCATTAATTATCGTGTCTTTTACAGAACAATTCAAACGCATCCACTTCGGGAAGTACTGGAGTTTCGGTCAAAAGGAAACCAAATGTTGTGATTAAAAGTGAGCCAAAGTTTATGCCGAAGCAAGAGATTAAAATAAAGACTGAAAAGTATTACCGGTAGCATTTTTTATCAAACGTTTTATAAAAATACAATAATTACTGTATTACAACTTTCAATGTTATTTAAACCAAACGTACAGATTTATAATTCAATTGATTAAACAGTAATTATAAGTGACTATTTATTAGATTCATATGTTTTATTGCACGAAATATTTCATTTAAAACTATCATTTCTAATAAATGTTATTCTAATGTTTTTTTTATAATTTTTATCACAAAATAAGTATAAATGCTATTACTGTAATAATTAATTTTAAAGTCAATTATATAAAGAATCTAAAAAACAATTATTAGTCTATGACTTGTTTTTTACGTTTTTTCATTCAAATATAAGTTTACTGTACTGCAGGGAATATCGAAAAAAATCAATTTTTAGTTAACAATAATTGGTTTGAAAGTAGATTATTGTGTAATTGTGAAGAGGCCAGGGATGTGGCAATTAAACAGGTCTTTTGGGTCTCTGATTGTAGATTCTGTTGTGTTGTGCCACACAATCCTTGTACTGTTGGCTACATTTGGCCGGATTTTCACCCCTTTGACGGCAACTAAACGCCGATTCACCGCAATATAGAGCAGCGCTCGGACTCACCCGTCCCTCATATGCTTGCGATTCTGTAATCAAATATTTTTGTATTAATAATTATTTTTAAAATAATCGATAATTAAAGAAAATGCTTGCTTATAATAAATACCTGAGCCAACAAATGAGCCAATTATTATGAGCACAAGTAAAGTACTCGACAAATATTTGTTCATTTTGCACGCAATTTATAATTTTTATTTTAATAATTTCTTATTGAATAATAAATTAAACTTATATTATATTCTGAAATATTTTTAAGGCAGAAAATATATGACAAACACTTGCAGTATATGTATTAATTGAAAATTTTATTTGCTTTATTTATTTTAATTATTGATTTAGTGAGCAAATAAATAAACCTTATTAAGTTATTAGATTAACACCTATTTTATATGTATATTATTTCCTGTATTAAGTTTCCAGGATATGTTTTTGTTATGAACTAAAATTATTGGGAAATATTTGATGTTTTTATAATATTCTTTGAAATTTAATTTAATTTGTCAAAATAGTTAAACAATGTTTCTCTTGTCATTTAACTATTAGCAAGTTTATGACAAAATGATTTAAATAAAATTATTGACAAAAGTATGAATTTTGTGATTACGGTATTATTTTTATGCAAATATTCTCCTAACTTAACATAAGGTCTATTATAGACTATCACTTCCTAATATTTCATATAAAATTCACTTTAAAAGCACATTTAACAACATTTTGTAATTTTCCTATTTGAAGCTATACAGTATTAAATAAACTACAGTATCATTAACCAAGACTCGCATGGAGTGAAAGCGGGGGATTGATAACCAAGCATGTATAGTACATTGTATAAAGATGATACTTATTTCTATAAAACAGTACCACTAATGTACTGGTGATAGAATTGATAAAATGAGAAAAGCACTAAAACCTAAAGGCTTTGCACCAGATATGGAAGTATAGAGAAAGACGATCCCTTTCCTCAATCCCAATGAATGGTTGGACGTGAAGCGGGTGTCATAGTGTTGGGCATTGGCTTAAATGTGTCCATATTTGCTATAATGGCTGAATTAGTTATAAATGAGTTTATTAAGAAATGGGTCATCGCTGACCCCTTTGATCCCCCGCCCTCTACCTCATCATATCGGCTCCACTCATCAATTAATTAAATGTGTCACAGAATTGTGTGTAAAATAAAGTTACTGTAGTTATAGCACTTATAACTCAAAAAACACATTCAATAATAAATTATAAACTACGGTTCATTATTTTATTTTTTCAAAGAATTTGATTGATAATGAGTTTATAAATAATGGATTTGTTTGTATAAAATTATTGAATATAAATTTTAAAATAGGAAATTCTTATTAAGACCATTTGTACGTTACATTCAGTTAAATTATACGGTATATATCACAAATCAAGACAATCAGAAATTAAATAAACTAATTGACAAAAATAAATCTAATAATAAGAAGCGATTTGAAAGTATAGTAACTGTAAATCATAATACGGTATGATATAAGCATTAATGAAGTGAAATAAACTCAATAATAGTGAAGTATATCACAAAATCTTGAACGAGTAGTCAATCATTTGAATCTTAAGCCGATCTCTGATGCCGTGATGGAGACCGCAATGACAGACATCGCTTGTCAACGCTTTGTCGCATTTGGCCTTAACTTTACGACAACCCTTGCAGCAGATGCTCACTTCGGGAGGTGTGGACTCCTTCTCCCTCTCCTCCCATAGCTCTGTCATCCACGGCATGGGCTCCACGTATACCCGACTGCACGACACGCTCTGCCAGTCGTCCAAATCCATGAGATCGTCGTTTTTAATCACATGAATATCGTTGAAGAGCTTATGGTGACAGTTGCGACACACGTACTGTTCCCCCAAATCATAGTCTTTGGTCACCTCCTCGGCCACCGTTAGCCTCTCGAAGAATCGGCTCAAATTCATGTCTAAATAACGGCTTTTATTCATATATTTTTTCACCAAATAGTGTCTGAATCGGCGGTTATTCGCGTCGAGTGTGTAGTCCATGGCCTCGAAGAGCTGTAACTGACGGATGAATCCCGGGTTCGGGTGAATCAAGTTTCGCCGCGACTTAACCAAAGCCCTCATCTCTTCGTACGGCTTCCGGTAGCGCCTCATGAGGTATGCGATCACAATAGTGGCCGATCGCGAGATACCGACCCTGCAGTGCACCAGGATGCCGGCGCCCGACTGCACACACCTGTCAATGATGTCGTACGTGTGCAGGAAGTATGACAACAGGTCCTGATCTTTGGAGTCTTGAGCTTTGATAAAATGGTAGTGAAGGTCGCGGTGGCGCTGAGCCGAGGGTATGGGCGCCCATAGCGTGGACAGTATGGATGTGATGTTCAGATTCTTGAGCTCCTGGTGATGATTAGTGGCCCACTCGATGTCTCCGAGATATAGGTTACCATCGATTTGGTTCATCACAAGTTTGTTTGCTTCGAGATAATTGAGTCAATCAATAGATGGTAAGCAATGAGGACGACCTCCGGACCCATAAACCAGTGACTGATGTGAAGCTTACCATTAAATTGACGCCTCCTTTGAATACCAGGTTTTGGACTAATTATGAATCAACAGGTTTATGGCATTTAAATGACTGAAAAGTAGTAAACATGACATCCATTGAACACTTTTGCGGCATTTGGTGGCAGTTGTGGGAAGTGTTGGTGAAGTGATTGTCTCGTTGTGTGACTCCAGTGCTGACCAAACGGACAGTGCTTTCAAAGGCAACCCCAAAGCGTATGCATTGCGTGATTGCATTGACTGCACACGTGTTGCGTCGACGCACTCATGCGCTGCAAGAGTGCCGGCAATCAAATCACAGCTGACCTCCAAGTTTGTGATAAAGAGGTGAACCCATGCCTTCCCTCCCTGTCCTCCCTGTCCTCCCTGTGCTCTCCTTTATCACCAAAAGGCACACACTTTCGCTGTTTATGCAATCAGTCTATAATTTATGTTATCTGTAAATATGATACACTTTAATAACAAAGTTTATTCACTTGACCACTACATTCATTTGCCGACTTTCTAAACAATTCATACATGACCAAGGTAATCATTTTTAAAAGTTATCAGATTGTGGGACATATGTTTTCTTATGATGATTAACGTGGTATTTGTTTGGTTTAAAATTGTATTTATTTATACATTTTATTTATAGGTTACGTTTAGTGATTAAACTGTAATCAACTCCGCATTCAAAGTGATTAAAAGATTAGTGAATGGGATATGGATTTGAATATCTACTCAAAACCTGTTTATCGTATACACGAGTGAATTGTGTGTAAATTTATCCCTCGTTTGTGTCGACAAAAATAAAAGTAATTTTAATAAATTACAATTAACTATAAGTTGTGTCTCATGTGAAGTGAATTTATAAAATGAGTGAACCTTTTAAATGTGTGTTTGAATACAACAACAGTTCATACGGTATAGAAATAAGCGATGATAAGTCACCACAAGTTGTCTTTCAAAGTATTTTCACCAAAATCCAAATAATCATACAATTAGTTCACAACAAATCGGTATCATTTGAAGCCAACAAATTTGAGGCAAAATTTACACTCATTTTCAACTGTTTTTCTAAACTTTTTAATTTGCTTTTCATGTCTCACTCAATAGGTTTTCAATACACTTCATGGCAACAGTTATTGCCTTTTGAATGGAAATAATTTAAATGATTACTACGTTAAGAGAAATGCTTTCATCAAAGTGTCGGATCTTAGCACTCGTCAGAGCACTGGTAGCCAAATGTCAGTCGGAGTGAAGTCACAAACTAATAAAGTCTCTGTTAATACTAACCCCAAGTCTGTGGCCCAGACATCACAAGTGGCCACTTCACAGATTAATAGTGGTGTGGGTTGTAATGCAAATCCAATTGTGATTAATGCCAACAATTGTAATATATTTGTTACAAATGAATCAATTGGTGTGAGTGGACACGGACTCAATGCCCGACTTATCGATATCTATACCCATATGCTATACACTTGTATGCAATGCTCACAAAACAATTGTGATCTAATCACTGAAGACGAGTGGATTCATGTCATAGAGAAACACATGACAGCCAAAGGGTACTCGAGTTCTGAACACAACTGGAAGTTATTGTATCGCACCTTCACTGAGCACTACATCAAAGTACACCAGTTTTACGGCCGTCCACTTGTAACCACTGAATGTAACAATAAAATTGTTTTTTTGTTGATTTTTTAGGCACTGGATAAGAGTGTAACTGTCAGTGAACTGCAGAATCGATTCCCATTCACCGATTTCTTCAACCTATTGCTGGTAAATCCAATCAATGGTCTCTACGATCAAGTGATGAAATCTAGGGATCAGTTTGTGTCCAAACTATTGGCGAACAAAGATTGTGGCAAACAATATGAGATAATGGAGCGAACGATTCAACAGCAAAGATATGAGGAATGGCTGCGTAATCGGCGGAATGGCTTTCAGACGAGATTGGAGTCTAATATCGTTGACATTAAACGACTGAATCTAATGGTTAAAGTGATCAGTGAATTGAAACTCGCTTCAAAAAACCAAGAATCGTCTAATCTCTTCGTGAAGATATCAAATAAATTGCTTGAAAACGGCATTAATTGGGAACCGCATGAATGTCGGCGAACACTATGTCATTGGATTGAGTTTTATGAGAGGGTAAGCCATATATTGTTCACCTAATCATTACTTATGGTGTTTATCTGATCCTCAGAATTACGACAACTATAAGCTGTCAGTGAAAGAGGGCAACAGAATCGTTGAATACATCTATCAATACCTAAATTCCATAGACAAGTATACATCGGATTTGAAATTACTTTTCGGTAAAAATAATAACATTTATTATTCATTGCGTAAGATTGAGAAGTGTGTCACTAAATACAAATAAATAATCATTGTTATTTAATGATCCCATTTGCTTTAAGAATTCATTACAAAATACTGTATTTTATGAATAAATAAATCAGAATTTTGTAATCAATTATTTTATACCATAATCATTATCTTTGGTTATGATACCTATTAAATAATATAATAATAGAGTGATAACTAATTTAACACAAATAGTTTAAATGAATGCAGTACTGTACCAGGTATAATGGTCAAAAAATGCTTTAAGAATATGACTCATTATATGAGCCTGGTAGTGTATTTTGTAAAGTTAGTCAAATTATGAATTAAAGGGATTGCAATGATTGCAGTAATGAATTGCCAATATTGAATGAGGGACAGCATTATATGAGTGATCCCTAACCCCCTAAACCATACACTCACTTGTGTTTCTCACTGTTGCCTTCAGTTGTGTTCATAAAACCAATTGTTATTTCAGTTATTAATTCATTCATTATAATTAACAATCAGTATTACTATTGCCGTATTGTGTCTCATGTGAAGTGAATTTATAAAATGAGTGAACCTTTTAAATGTATGTTTGAATACAACAACAGTTCATACGATATAGAGATAAGCGATGATAAGTCACCACAAGTTGTCTTTCAAAGCATTTTCACGAAAATCCAAATAATCATACAATTAGTTCACAACAAATCCATTTCATTTGAAACCAACAAATTTGAGGCAAAATTTACACTCATTTTTCACTTTTTAAAGTAAAGGTTTTAATTTGAATTTTTGTAACATTTTAATAGGTTTTCAATGCAATTAATGGCAATAATTATCATCTCTTGAGTGCAAATGATTTGAACAAATATTATGTTCAGACAAACACTTTCCTCAAAGTGTCTGATCTCGGAGATGGTGAGAGCACTAGTATTGATAATCGACCATCAGTTTCATGTACTTCACCAGTAAATAGTGGCGCGGATTGTAATGCAAATTCAGTTGCCATTGATGTTCACAAAACCATTACTAATTCATTGAATACGATTGAATCAATTGGTGTCAATGGGGACGGACTCAATGCACCGCCCATTCAAATGTATACCGATTTGTTAACCATTTGTATGGATTACTCACAAAATAATTGTGATTTAATCACTAAATACGAGTGGATTCATGTAATCGATACGCGAATGGTAGCCAAAGGATATACCAGTTCTGGCAACAAATGGATGATATTATATCAGGTCTTCATTGAACACTATTTAAAAGTATTACTTCATTTCAAATCACTAAATATACAGAATTTTGTGTTAAATGTATTTTTATGATCATTATAATAGGCACTGAATAAAAGTGTGTCTCTCAATGAACTGCAAAATGAGTTCCCTTTCGCCCATATCTTCAACCAATTGATATTCAATCCAATCAATAGTCACTACAATCTGTTGATGCAATCGCGACAACAATTTATGTCCAAAATATTGAAGAACAAAGAGTTTGGTCCACACTATGAGACAATGGAGCGAACCATTGAACAGCAAACTCACCAAAATTGGTTGCGTTGTCGACGGAACGGCTTTCAGAAGCGATTGGAGACTAATATCATTGACATAAAACGATTGAATCTAATGGTTCAAGTGATCAGTGAATTGAAACGTATACCAAAACACGAGGAATCGTCTCATCTTTTTGAGAAGATATCAAATAAATTGCATAAAAATGGCATTAATTGTGTAGCGTATGAATGTCAGCGATCTCTCTGTCATTGGATTGAGTTTTATGAGAGGGTAAGCCATATATTGTTCACCTAATCATTACTTATGGTGTTTATCTGATCCCCAGAATTACGAAAATTATAAGCTGTCAGTGAAAGAGGGCAACAAAATCGTTGAATACATCTATCAATCATTGAATTCCATTGCTATGTATTCATCGGATTTGAAACTACTTTTCAGTAAAAATAAACCCATTTTGCATTCATTGCGTAAGATTGAGAAATGTTTCAATGATAAGTAGATAAGTTATAATTTGTTATTTTAAAATCAAGAATACATTACAGAATATTATGCTATATTAATTTGAAACAAATCAGAATTTTATAATTCAAACATTTACGGTAATCTTATAAATAATAAACACATAAAACCTTTGTTACGGTAATCTATTAATTACCTTAACGCAAAAATAGAGTACCGGTAGTAATAAATTATAAGACATGAGAATACAAGTAGATTAGAAATTATCAAAAAATTACAAATCAATACAACTAATTATCAACTTATGTTAATGCCTTGAGCAAATTGTTATGATTTCATTCATTACTATTTTTGTAATTGAAATGTAAAAATCAACCAAATACTGTATATGATATAAAAGTTAAGATATTGAACTGAATATGATTTTGAAAATTGTAAACCAATCAAAGTTGTTATGAAAGTACGATATAAGACACTAATTTTACAAAAATATTTGTCTCACTATTGGTGATCAGACAAACCATTTCTAAAGACTGCCTTGAGTTTAGTATAAGGTGTGGAAGCATTGAAATTGTGGACATACTTCTCAATGAGTATTATTTTGCGATAATTGACATCATTTGGTCGGTAAATGCTCTTCAAATTGGATGAAAAGGTTGTGATTGCGTTCAAAAAGCCGTAAATGTATTCAACGATTCGGTTGCGCTTTTGGAGACAATACTCTAAATTATGGAAATTCTGTCCAAACGTCCGAAAAATAGTCAATAAATTAGAGACAAAATTAAATCAAAGTTAATAAACAAGGCTTACGTTCGCATAGAAAGAGACCCAAACGTTGAGAACAGTTCTGCACTTTTCTGGACTCCAGTTCAGACCAATTGCGTTCATCTTCGTTGACATTCTCTCAAAACTCTTCCTCTCATTGGGTTTGATATCTAGTTCTTTGATCACATGAATCAATACATTCAGACCTTTGATGTCATTGACGTTGTTCTCCAATACTGTCTGCAAATCATTGCTTTTCTGGTGTTCACTGCTCTGCTGTTTGACAATCAGCCGAAGATTTAGCCATTTATTATCCAAATCTCCGTAATTGTTGAGGAATCGTCTCCTGGCGTCCATCACGTGCTCGTAATGACCATTGGATTTGTTGAATAGCAATCGATTGCAGTCTTCAAATAGTGGCAAATAAGTCATCACTTCTTCATACGATTCACACGTTTTTAAAGCCTTTGAAACAATACAATCAATTCATACGATAGAGAATTAGCCATCAATTACCTGAACATAGCATCGGATCAGCTGTTTGTAAGCAATTTGCCAACTCTGCGGCGGATAGTCACAGAAGCCCTTCTTAAACATAAGGTTGTGTATAATACAAAGCCATTCGTAATCCACTATTAGATCACAATTATTGTGCGAAAAGTCTTTGATTTCGTTCAGTAGTACCGAAAACTTATGAATCTCTTCAGGACTCATGAGATCACGTCTTCGCGTTTGAATTATCTGTCCGTTGATTAGTTGCCGGTTAGCGATAATGTCATTCAATTGATCCAATGATTGACTTCCGGTGATAGGAATCATAAGAATGGTTTTGGGCGTAGAGTTGGGATAACGTAAGGCATTCATATTGGCTCTCATTTTCATCTGATTCTCGAAAGTCTTCGCAACGAACTCTTGCAGCAGTCGGGCGCCAATCAGTTGGTCACTGGTTATCGGCAACACATTAGA